CCCCCCACTGCTGTGCATCTCCTGCCCTTTGCCTGGGAGCTGCCCTTTCCCCCCTACCCCCCGGAGCCTCCTGCTTGCTGTGCAGAGCAGGGAAGGGAGAGGAGGGGGCGTGGATGTCAGGGTGCCCCCCTCCCACCTTGTATTCTATCTCCACACAATGGAGAGGAGCACAACGGGGCTTGGGATGGAGGGAGTTTGCTGGCTGCTTTTGAGAGTGGTGCAGGGCCAGGGCAGGGGTGAGCCTGTCTTAGCCTCACTGCACCACCACCCAGGAGCCACCTGTGGTAAGCTGTGCCCAGCTGGAGCCAGCTCCAAACCCCTGCCCAGTCATGAACCCCTCCTGCATCCCAAGCGCCAGCCCTGAGCCCCCTGGACCCAAACTCCTTTACAGAGCCTGCACCTTGAGCCCCCTTCCTGCACCCCAACTCCCTGCCCCAGGCTCAGCTCAGAGCTCTCACACTCCAAATCCCTTAGCCTAAGACCAGAGCCTGCACCCCAACTCTCTGCCCCTGCCTGGAGAAAGGGAGGGAGAACGGGGGAGGGGGGGCGGAGTGAGCAGGGGCAGGGCCTCGGAGAAGGGGCACGAAGGAGGCTGGCAAGGGTATTTGGTTTGCAGTAGATCCTGGATCGCACTTGCACTTAAAATAAATAAAATAAATAAATAAAAGGTCTTGTGCTTAAAAAGGTTGGAAACCAGTGACCTAAAGCATAAAATATGGCCAACCTCTAACAGGCGTTCCACAGTGTTGCGGGGGGTCAGCTGCAGGAGCACGTCTGGAACCTCAACCTGCCTTCCACAGCAAGCATCCACGATGGCAGAACTGACTCTTCACAACTGGGTTTATACACCCCCCCTTGCGCAGCTGGAGATCTCTGGTCTCCAACATTCATCTGTCTGCAATGGTCTTTTCCCATCGGGTGCGTCCACACTGCCCCCGGAGTGCAAAACACTACACAATTTGAGCTATGCAAATTGTGTCGCTCATTTCGAGTCAATTTCAAAATAGCTTATTTTGAAATTTGACGCTGTCTACACAGCACTTATTTTGAAATAAAGCGCTATTTTGAAACGTCCCCGACTCCTCATGAAATGAGGTTTACAGGGACATCGCAATAGTGAGCCCGTTATATTTCGAAATAATGGGCACGCTCAAAAGACATGGAATAGCTATTTCGGGATACCTCCAGTACCCCGCTGCAGTATAGATGTAAACATAGCATCCTTTACCAAGAAAGGTAGTGAGGGGCCAGAGTTTCACTGCTCATACAGTAACATAACCTCTCCACAGAAATGCAGGATCTAACAGGAGCTATTTGCCTATTTGTTGAAAGACTTTATGGCTCAAATTTCCCCTTCACTGTACAACTATTACTGCAAGTCATTAGCCACGTGCATTTCTGTATGCATTCCAGTTTTGCTGTTAGCCAGACGTCTCTGCCAGCAGTGCTAGTATCTGAGTTTACTTATACTAGGAGCTGCGGCTTATCCTTGCAGATGCTCAGTTATTTTCTCTATGCTCTGACAACACCAGAGTCTGTCAAATGCAAAAGATTAATCTTCACTTGTAAAATTCAAGTCCCTTACTAAGATGACATTATATGAGAGCAACAGTGTCCTACCTGACACTAATGTAGTTTAACTAATAGCTCTGTCCCACAGCTGACGCAACAAGAAACTATTCTTTACCAAAGGGGGAGAAAAAAAAAGCTGCAGCTTCTTAAAAACAACCATTTGTAACAATCATGACTGGAAATTCAGGCCTTATATCATCTACCCTGTTTTTTCCTGGAAGACTGACATCTGAAGTAGCAGCAGGATATTAGGAGTCCAAGTTTATGAGCCCTGATTATATGAAAGCAAAACTGACTTTTTATTCAGACTTTAAAACACTAAGTTCTAAAGAACTATGTCCATCCTAGATGAAATGCAGTAAGACAGTGGTGATCAACCTTTTTTAATTTGCGACCCCCAGGGCCGGGAAAATTTTTGTTGAGCAAATAAAAAAAAGCGCTGGGAACATTTTGTTGTGGCCCCTTTAAATTAAAGCACCGGTCTGCTCCCCTGCCGCTCCCCTCTCCCCCGCCGTGGCAACCCCCCAGGAAGACAGCCACAACCCCCTTGGGTTGCACACTGCTGACCTAGACAGTCAGGAAGAAAGCTCTCTGTGAGCAAAAGCCTCAAGACACCCCACTAATTCACTTACAAACAACCACTCCAAATCCCTGGGCCCTCCAAAAGTTAGGTCAGCAAAAACACAGGAATGGGTGTGGAGGGTGGGGACTATTTAGCCTTCTATATATTTTAAAGCACTAGTAGCCTGGGATTTTACAAAGGAGCCTATGGGAATTAGGTACTTCTATCCCTCAGGACTTGGACACTAGTGTCCTTTGGCCTCTTGGAAATCCCAGCCATATTCTGGGACTACACGTGCTCAGAGTTATGCACAAGTATACATGTTTGCAGAGTGGGGGGCTAAGTTTGACTTTGAAATTGAACTAAGATACCTGCTACTAGCATTCCTGGAATGCCATCGCTGACCGCTACTGAAGAAATCTAATACATATTTGAGAGAGTTTTTCTGTTCATCCATCCATCCAAGAACTCTGCTTAAATGGAAAGAACTTGGACCACCAGATTCGATATGCAGCTTCCTCTTATAATTTAAAGCAAGGTCAGGGTTCGGTTGTGCCAGGAAAATAGGACATGCCTGAAATGGGATCGCTTCTCATAAAACCATATAGAAAAAAAAAAAAAAAAAGGACAGAATCACCAGGCAGGTGAGAAAGGTTAGCTGAGGGCACCTTTCCCCCTTCTGGGACTGCCCAGCCCCTGCCTCGAGCCTCCCACCCCTCATGCAACCTTTAGAGAGGTCAGGGAGGGCTGAAGTTCCTCTTCCTTCCCTCCCACCCTCCAATTGGTACAGAGACATCACTGGCTATTCCCCTTCACCAGGAAGCGAGGGGAAAGTGCAGAGTTTTCTGCATTCCTCACTCAACCTGGAGAGCACTGGGGGCAGACAGACCGGGACCTGCCCCAGCTGGGGGACATGCACCCCTCCCTGGCTGTGCCTGCTGAAGCTGCAGCAGCCATGGAGAGATGCTTCTCACCAGGTCCCAAGCTGCTGCAGTGAGAGAAGGATGGGGTAGGTCTCTTACCCCGGGGAGCCTGCATCCTGAACCTCTCATCTCCAGTCTCACCCCAGAGCAAGGATTTAAAAGAAGCACGGACATTTTCATTTTATTTTCCGATAACCACAACTGGAGCTAAGGAGGCAAATAATGCCAGATAAATCTAGTGTACATATAAATGTAGAACGTCTCCCTCTTATACGTCATTGCTGGAATATTGTCACTGACCTTCACATCCCTAGACTGCTTGTAGAAACAACTCTTAACTCCTCCCCCAGCTCTATGTCAACTATGCTTTTGCAAAGAAACAACCCTTATGCAAATCACAGTAGAGCAGAACTTTGGACTCATTTGTTTCTAGGAAGTTAGTTTCTTCCTCTCTATATATGCTGAATGCTCACTGATGTTAGATAGGAATTATACACCCAGGTTAAAAGCCAGCATATTAAAGGGCACTTTTCCAGATATTTCCATGTTTCCATCTTAGTCATATTAAACAATAACTTTGGTCTACAGGTAACATTTTCAAAGATGCAAAGAGTGACTTAGCTACATGTGAAAATTTTATCAGAGATTCACACAGCATTACATTAGTCATAGGGAAGGCAGTGCGGCCTAGTGGCTAGATCACTGGCCTCACAAGACATGGGTTCTATTACTGATTCTTCTGCTGGGTGACCATAGGCACTGTCTCTGCCTCAGTTTCTTCAACTGTGAAATGAAGATAGCCACTCTTCTCTCCTTTATAAATTGCATCGAGATCCACAAATAAGACATGTGCATATACAACAACTGTGCTTATTTTTAATATCTTTAGACATACATAGGCCCAATATGGGCATGAGTCACCCACGATGTTCGCTGCAGTGTGGTAACCCACAGTGTTGCCACACTTCTTGAGGATTTGATGCAATTAAGCACTAGCTGCTGCTACAGAAGTGTCCAAAGCTGTTAAACATTCTGTGATCCAAGAGAAGACTCTGGAAGTCCTACTGAAAACGTGTGCTGCTTAAGTAAATCTTTACGCAGCAGGTAAGTCTCACTGGCATTAAACCAAATTAATGTGAGGAACTGAATGAAGGTCAACAACAGCATGGCAGATACCCGTTCCAAATCCTGCAGGTAACAGCTTACATTTAGTTTTCTAATAATAGGAGTGCAGACTCTCTAAAAAGTCCATTAGCAATTAAATATACAGTTGATCTCTCCAGAGTGCTGGATATTCATTTGCCTGCCCCACCAATTTTCAACAGGCTAATGAGGCACATTTTAAAATTGTAT